TAGTCGTAGAATAAAGGGTTGAGCGGTGCCTGGTTCTAGCCACGAAGATTGAATATAATTGTACTGTCGAATGCGCCAATCCGGTCGGTATTCTTCCAAAAGTTGCATGATAGTCCAGTCATTTTGTACTTGGAAAACATCTCCATGGAGGTCTGTATAGCGAAACTCCAAGTCCGAGTCGTTCAGGTGGATGTCCCACTGGGTGCGTAAGCGAGTGGTCAAGGCTGTACGTAAATCTCGAAATGGAAAAATGCCCGCTTCGACAGGTAGGAAATGACGGCACCAGGTGAAAAGAGCTTCTAGTTCTCCAGCACTAACATTTCTGAAGTTGGAGGCTGCCAAAGTACGGTATAAACCGTGATCAGGCTCACTACGATGTGTCAGCTCCTGCAAAGGAATGTAATCCACAATGACCAAAACGGGTCTGTATGGAGGTGGGTCGAGGATTCCTGCACGGTTGCCAAGTCGTGTAAATCTCGTTGCCGTTCTAGTGCCAGTGGGTGTTTGAATTTCTGCTGTATCTCGATATGGATGAGCACAAGAATAGGATGGGTCCATGGCGACTTCCGATAATAATTGAGCAAATAAAGCCCTGGTCGTAAATAAATCGCAAGGGTGAAAACTGGGAACCGGGTCATGAAGAGAACATGATCCACAGTGTCAAAATAGTATATAAAAGGAAGAATTGTCAAAGGGAACCAATGCATGAGGCTGCCGTCTTTTTCCAAGTCAGCGAAAGCGGTTAGACACTGGAGTCAGACATGTCCATAGGGCCATCAGCTTCTTGTGGTACTGTGCCAAATAGTGCAGGAGAGAGTGTTGCCGTGGTAGTAGGGTTCGGAGGGGCTCGAAATGTTGCCGGTGGTGAGGAAGGTGGTGTAGTTCTCCATGGTGGCCAAGATAAAGAAATAGGTGTGCCTTGTGAGTGATATTGAGCAGAGCGTCCCCAGCAGGATTGGAGAATATGAATTTGATCTGGGATGGCCACAAACGGTTGGTCGACGTGTACATTGTCGTGTTCAGGATGTGGTAGGACAGGGAACGAGGTTGTAGTGGACGAAGAGGATGGGAGAGTGGGAACATCATAGTATTGTCTCCATTGGTTGGCCGTTGTGCGTAGTGTGGTCAGATCCCTGGTAAGGTGGAGGTTCAGCAGGAAAGTTTCCAAAGGTCTCCAAGTCTCTCGATGGTCGTCAGTACGTTCCAAGATCCAAAGTTCAGCAGGTCGAGAGGTCAGGGGATAGGCGATCTTCTTGATAAAAATGGTATGAACAGTAGTAGAAGTTGGTACCATCCTGGCAATACGAGGGATATATGATGCCGATGACGGGTCCTCCATCTGTGGAGGATGAGCGGTCGAGGTGGTAGGGATGGTCGTCGACGAGGAAGAAAACATTGAATGTAGTTCAGCAGGAGGGTCATTCGCCATGGTAAAAAGTGAACGGAGTCGGAATCTGGAGCCAAAGGATAAATTGTGATAGCAATAGAACAACGGTTTCTCACGAAAGGTGGTCCAAAAACAAGAGTCAGCAAAGGTTGGAAAAATGGAGTCTTAAAATGAAAACGGATGTGTCGAGCGGACGGTCACTTTTTCTGTTGGTGATGGTAGTCGGTTTCAGGAACCACATGGCAATGGAGATGATCTCGTTGTCGTAAAGAAAGGATGCCCTTGAGGAATAACCTGAATTTGTAAAGCAAGACCCGTATCATGTTGGTCCGGGTGAGGTGCCAATGTGAGGTGTGGGCACTCACGAGAAGTAAAGGCGTCCAGGTGCTGATGAGTCTTCCAAGTTGGATAATACCAGTTCAGGATGTCCATAATCGAGTGAGGAAGATTGTCCAGCATGTGAGTACCTTGATCAGTGTCAATCATCAGGTAGAAGTCCGTGGGTTGAAGGTGTATCGACCATCGTTGTAGAATTGTATCTTTCACCAATGTCTTCAAGTCCGAGACAAAATGACTGCCAGCGTAGTCCGGATAGATGACCTTGAAAGTCTGGAAGAGGCTATCATATGCTGCCGTTGAGAGGTTGCCTGCGACTTGAGGTGCCAAAATGTTGAAGTACGGATTTTTGTGAGCCAGCTGCTGCATAGGCTTTAAATCCAGTTGTAGAATAACGGGTCGATGTGGTGCGGTAGATGGAGTTGTCCAGCCCGGTGGTCGATGAAACGGAGAAGTACCGGTAGAAGAAGGTGGCGTGCGAGTCGGAGAGCGTGATCTTCTGGTAGGCGAAATCGGGTCTCGGGCCATGGCGCGTTGAAGGCAATATCGATCCAAGTGAGTGCGGAGGGACATAATAATACAATGGAGCTGCAGTAGGACGAAAATCATGACGCAGGAGGAACTACAGTTTCTTCGCAACAAATTACGGAATAGTGAGACGGAAGGGGAGCAATACCAAAGGTAATGAAATTGCTCAGCAATGCAGCCATAGGGTGAAACCAACATATCATATGATCAAAAGGTGAGAAACGGGAAAAACCGCAGGCTTTTTCCTGTCTGGAGGCGTGCTGCAAGTGGTCAACCATGGGTGTTCTTGATCTGGTTCCACATCGATCGAACATCAGCTTCGGTCTTGCCCATCTTGGTAGAAATGACTCGCCAGGAGAATCTGGATTTCTCATCAGCTTTCAGGGTCCGAAGTTTTTGCTTTTCCTCGGATGTCCAGGGTGTCGAAGGGCTAGGAGAGCGTGACGGCGATTGCTGTTCTCTGCGCCGTCGTTTGCCTGGAGCCTTGGGAGTTGCATTGGTTTTCTGTTTACGTTTCTGGGATGAAGGTGCCGTAGACGATAATTTCGAAGGATCTGGGATAGCATCAGGTGGTGGAGCAGCAACATGTTGGTGTGGTTCAGGAAGATTGTGTCGTAGTAGGTCGTCCATGAAATCATCCTCGTCTTCCAGGTCAGGTGGGGGAATGTTGGCTTCATCGATAAATGCTTGAGTAGAGTCCGAGTATTGCGGCTGCAGACCTTCGGGTTGATGCCAAACTCCGGTACTTGGTAGGGGCGTGGGCTCAATGTTGGGAATAAGGGTAGGAGGAAGTAATGCCATTGCCCGATGTAGAAGAAGATATGCATGATGAACATCGTGAAGAAACTGGAAAAAGACAGGTTCTTGAAGCGGGATCGATGTTGTAGCTGACGGAGACGTCATCGCTCGAAGTTGCGTAAATCAGGAGCAATATGGATAGAAGCGAAGTGAGAATAAAATAGCTGAAGGTAACAATATAGCGGTGCAATAAATGAATCCCAAAGTCATGTCACGGTTTCGAAGGATCGGAAGGGTGAAACGTAACGGTGGGACGCCACAGCCACTCGGCAATAATTGATTTTACCACTCGACTCTCGCATGAACTCAGAGGTCCATAATGACACAGCCCCGGACTCTGGTGGTGGGGGTCAGTGCATTTGATTTTACCACAAAGACGACACTTGGAGATATCGCCGGATAGGTTTGGCAGCCGCTGTTAAATCGGGTGAGTTCTTTCAGGAGCAGGGTGTGCACATTTTGCCACAAGGAATAGTCGGGACACGAACCCAGATAATTGCACTGCCAGCGGCGATGCCGAGAATGGGGCCATAACCTGGTTGAAGTCGCGTGGAGGGCTGTAGCGTAGTGCAAAGGGTTCGAACTCGATGCAAAATCCCAGGAACTCCTGGTCGGGCTCCGTTTCCAGAATAATTGGGTTGCCGTAGAACTCCGGGTGCAAAAAGTTTGTAAAAGCGATTTCGTAAGCCCACGTTGGATCAGCTAAGCAAAGTCGGTTGTCCACATAGCGAAGGAGGCGAGCTGAAAGGTCCATAGTGGACAAAGTGGTCTGATAGGTGCGGTACCAGATTTCCTCAGAAAGGGCGACGACCATCATGCACAGGGCTGGGCTCAATGGGGAACCCATAGGTGAGCCTCGAATTTGTTCATAAACTGAGGTGCCGATGGAGAACTGGGTCATTTTCAATTACTAGGGCCATTGAGCTCATTTCGGTTTACGGGTGAACTTTTTGCATATATCAAAAAACTAATTAGCTAAATTCATATATATATTTTTTTTGATAAAAATCAACCCAAAAAAACTCAAACTCTGAAAACCAGCACCCCTCAGGCCATGTCAAAAAACATGCAGGGGGAAAAAAAAATGCCTCAGATGTTGACGTAAACAGCGGAAGTTGAACACCAAGTTCGTAATAGTCAAGGGATTGGATTGGAAATATATATGACCTGGAACCAGGAAAATCACATCGGCTCAGCAAAATGCTTGGATTGCACCATTTCTCTCTCTTTCCTTGCTTGATCTCGGAGTATCGGTGTGTCTTTCCAAAATTTGGACCGATGCTGCTGGCCCACATGAATCTGTACATTTAAGGTGGTATCCAGCAACATGTCTAGCACATGCATTTCAACATGCATGTTTTGTAGATGAGAACTACCTATTTGCCATTTTTTTTGGCACTTGCTTTCCTCGAAGCAGCCTTGGCAACTTGCTTAGGGGTCACCTTGGCCTTTGGTTCCTTTCCTTTCTTCTTTGGTGCCGTTTGATCTTTGGGAGCCTCCACAGGCAATGACTGAGCCTTTTTGAACTCGGGGTCGTTCTTGAAGCCCAGTGCGAAGAATTTGTCCACCTGTGTGGATGTCGGCCAAAACTATAAGTGCAATCTGCCAAGTGGGATTGCTCAATGTACCAGGTGACCATCAATAAGAACTTATCTAACAAAAATTACATGAGGCATGAGGTAAACCATATAGTGTCCCAAAGAATATATTTGGTGAGGCTTCGTTGACATTCCATCATGGGAATCTTACATTATGATTGTGTTTTTTGATCAAATCAAATCAGTGAAGAAAAAAGTAGAATATGAATAGTAACAACTGTTCATAGTTAACAGCCTTAGGCATTCCCTTTGGCCTACAGGCCCCAAAGCAGGGGTTGTGTAAAACTTGTTGATGTAGAAGGTTGGTTCGATGATGATGATGATGATGGTGGTGGTGGTGGTGATGATGATAATTATGATGATGATGCTGATGATGAGGCTGATGACGATGAGGAGGAGGAGGAGGAGTAACATGATGTTTCATATAAACAATATATACCATAAACATCACTATAGCAAAGAATTATATATAGCAAAGAAAACCTAGATGCTGCCCACCCCCTGGCCTCTTTCTGACGGTTGCTCGTAGTAGTCGGTAACTGGGAATCCTTCACATCATCCTTCTCTGTCGATACCTTTGGGCTGGTCGTGGCTGCATCAAAGGAAATCTCTTGGTTGGCTGCATCTGGAACAGCTGAACCCGATTTGGGCTCTGCATCTGGAGCGGCTGAAGCGGACTTGGCCCCAACCCCCATGTCATTCCCATTGCTGGCTGTGGCTGCATCAACGGAAATCTCTGAGTTGCCTGGAAGTGGAGCTGGTGAACCCGACTTGGGCTCTGCATCTGGAGCGGCTGAAGCGGACTTGGCCCCAACCCCCATGTCATTCCCATTGTTGGCCGTGGTTGCATCAACGGAAATCTCTGAGTGTCCTGGAAGTGGAGCTGGTGAACCCGACATGGGCTCAACTTCCATGTCATTCCCATTCTCTGCCTCAGAACCCTTCTTCTGATCAACATCCATGTTAGTCTTTGCCTCGGAATTCTCAACCTCCAACTGTGCCATAGCCACAGCTGCCTCAGAATTTTCATTCGTCTCTGCAGCAGGAAGCTTGTGGTCAACCTCCATCTGCTTCTCAACTACCTCAGAGCTCGGCTTGCCCTCTGGCACTGCAGTGCTCTCTGGTTGACCAAGCTCAGTTTCCTTGTCCTGCATACCATCTTGTCCATTGGTGTTCTCATCGGCTTTCTCACCTGAAACTGAAAAAATGCAGTGGCAACAGCAACAATTGCATAAATGCAATTTTATGGTATCATACCTGAGACATTGAAACAGAAGTTTTGGATCAAATATCAAAAAGTATCTTTGTGGACATTGTTTACAAACTCTCTGTGGAGGACACTATTACCAAATGCTGAAACTGAAAACTGAAAACAAATAATTATTTGGTCTTCCCCGCTCACCTGAATCTTCAGCTGGTGGACCTGAATTCTTTGCAGTCTTGCGCTTGGCAACACCTTTCTGCACCAACCAATCCAGGAAGTCGGCCAAATCTTGTCCAGGATCATTCTCTGGCACCCCGAAGACGAAGTCCGGGTCGTACTCTTCATACAAGAAGTCTTTCAACTCTGGACGTTGTTTTGCACGCTCAAGCTCCAACTCAAAATCAAAGTCCGGGTGAAGGAAGAGCTCATCGAGCTCAGATCGAGATTCTGGTAGTGCATTGTAGTCAAGACGCAGCAGCTCGACTGAACCATCCTGCACAGCGGGCAAAGCAGATGTTTGCTCCTGTTCCTGCTCCTCAGCTGTGGCGGCTTGTGACGGTTCTTGTTTCACCTCGAAAGCAGAACAGATCTGCATGGCAAAGCTCAGCTTGTTGATGGGGCCTTTGAAAGCCTTGCCTTCATCATCCATGCGCATCGATTTGATGCCATTCTCGATGGTTTCCCGTAGTGATGTCATAGCTGATGAATCCTTGAGGATGAAAGGAGGCAAACCAGTGAGCACCTGGGAAGGCAAGGGTTACATATTGGAAAACAATAAGAAAACCAAGTCTTGGTTACAGAGAGAAATATCAAACGTCCCCAACTTCGCAAAGAAACCCTGGGTGATGTTCATATTTCAGGTTTCAGAAGTTCAGAAGTCAGTGGAATATTGCTGAAAGAAAGAAGGCAAGGAACCAGAAAATCACACCCAGATCCTCCAGAAGTATGGCATGCATCACCGAAGTCCATAGCACCCACATTGCACTGGAAGTACAAGTATCCAGGTGGAATTGTAACGCCTTGGAACATATCCAGGAAAACATAGAAGCCGTTGTTCTCAATCAATGCAGACCGGGTCATGTTGCCCATTTCCTCAGAGATCGTGGCAACACTTTTTCCCGACTTCTGCACGTTGAAGAAGCTGAACGGAATGCCAGCAACGAAAGTGCTACCATGCAAACTCACCACGGTTCTTCCAAACATGAAATCACTGAAGTTGCAGCACTGCCAATCAGCACCAGCTGCAACCACTTGAGGGGAAAGGATCTTTTCCAGAACATCAGTGTGTGGACTCTTCTGAAACTTCTGGACAGCTAAGGAAAGGATGTCCTTTGTTCCACAAAGAATTTTGGTCAACCATTCCTTGACCTTGTCTGTCTGGTCAGCAAAAAGATCATCCACAGCAAAATTCTCATCACCCCGGAAGTTGTGCGCCGCATCCGGTTTATCCTTTCTCGCTTTGGTGCACTCGACAACGTTGTAGATGCCCTTGAGCTTACCCAAGATGTCACTGGTCACGCTGAAAGCCATAGCCTTTGTGATGTTTGGGTGCTCGTCAAAGTCACCTGAGCTGGGCTGAGCAGTGAGCACATAATTGACTATCAAATAAAAACACTTGTGATATATGTCACAAAAAGAACCAATAACCTTGGTTACTCTTGTGACACCCATCACTGTCACAATCACAAGGTTGGTGTTGCAGCATTCGCTGTTGAATTCAGTTTCTATCAGCCATATTTGCACCCTGCCAAATGCCAAGGTACCCACATTTTCCGACTTTATCAGCATGAGATCCTTTGCAGATGCCAGCAATGGCCAAATACCATCCTCTTCATCTGAAGCCCAACCATCCTGCGAGTTCTCATCCTCCACAGCAGCATCAGGGCCACCATTGCCCTTGGCCAAGTCTTCTCCAGCCAATGCGTTGCCCTCTTCTCTAGCCTTTGCCAACATCTTTGCTTTTTTGGCTTCTCGTTTGGCTAACTCTTTGGCTAAGCGCTCCTGACGTGCTTGTTCTTTCACCTTCTCCTGCTCGACCTTGTCCACCAAGTCATTCAAGGTGTTAACCCCCTTCTGGATGGAAGCTGCAAGGCCTGTCATGTTCTTGTCATAGTCAGTGAGTTCCTTCTTGGTTGGAGCTTCTAGCTGGTGTGCCTTTCCACTGCTCATTGGGCTGAGTGAATTTCTCAATGATTCACGGTCCATGTCGTGAACCATGGTTCTCTCCTTGGATGGCGATGAGACCACTTCAGGCCCCATAGCCACGAGCTTCTTGAAGCGCTCGGTAAGAATGTTAGAAAGCCTCAGTGTAGTGGCATAGTGACATGGTCTCGAATGTATTTATGATGTGTGATTTGTCTATGATGGATAATGTAATGTATGTATATATCAACACACTGTATGTATATATATGTGTGTGTGTAAAAGGCGTAGTATGGTTGTTTACAAATAATCATAAGTGAACATATCGGATGTATTCAAAAACAACATATATATATATATTGTAAATATTTATATTGTTGTAAATTTGAAAATATTTTGTATTCGTGTAGTTTGAAAAATGTTTTGTCTGAAGTATCAACAATGCATATTAATAGGATATTTGATATTGGAAAACATGTTGTAAAATATTTGATATTGGAAAACATGTTGCACATGGCAAATATTTGATATTTGTATATATATATATATATACACCATTGTTTACAAACACACCTTATATATGTCAAATATACCGCATGTACAATATATTTCTTTTGAAACCAAAAGTTCATTATTCTATTTGTTTGATATATACATATATATATATGCATATTCTGCATATGATATATATATATATGTGTGTGTGTATTTGTGTGTGTGCACAATGAATTGTCAGAATCTATGCCAGATGAGTTGTCAGAAATGTCAGAATACATGTCAGATACATTGCCAGAAACGTCAGAATATATGCCAGATGAATTGACAGAAAAGATACCGCATATAATGCCATATGATCTGACAGAGCAGAGTATTACGATGATAATAACCCGAAGTAAGTAAACATAGTTTTTTTTAAATTATGGTTTATCAAGCTTTAAAAGTTTTGGTTCTGGGTAATTTTTGGTAATAGATATGAGATTGATGAAATGTTACTTTTGACATTGGGTTGGCCTTCCCCAGAGAGATCCTTACTAAATATTGTGCGTTAATCTTTTTTCAAACCATGTTGTCACTTGTGGGTATAGTTCTTCTTTAGAAGGTCAACCCAGATTAAAGTTTTGCAAAGTATACAAATATACACACACATATATATATAATTAATCATATCATATCATTTTAGAAAAAATAGTATTTGATATTACCCTATATTATATTGCATTGAACTACATTGCCTTATTTTACCCAACTATATTTTGATCATATTATATTGCATTTTATGTTTTATTGTATGAAATTATATCATATGTTATTGAACTATATAGTTGTTTATCATATTCTTCTTGGTATTAAATTATATGATATTATATCCTGATTATATTCCATTGTATTCTATGATTTTTTGAATATATTATGTCATATTATATTGTATTGTACTAGATTGCATTCTATTAAAAAACTTTGTATGTTTTAAACAAATATATTGTCTTAAAATAAGAAATATTACAATAAGTTTTTATCATCTTGTAATATATTATATTAGTTTATTCATTTTTGTTTTAAAACTGCTATATTGTGATGAATTAAGTCATATTACACTATGCAATATTCAAATGTGTTAAACTGTTTATGTTGTTTTAACATCATATTGTATTAAATGAACATATATTATATTAAAATACAAATCTTCCTAATTTAATATATTATTCTATGTTAAATGAAATCATATATAATATATCTTATGGTTTGTGTATTATATGTTACTTTTATATAGTTTTAATATATTATGATATGTGTTTTTCGTTTTTGACAACATTTATATATGCATGTTTCTATGCAAAAGAACAATAATAATATATGTTGTATGAAATTTTATATACATATATACATTATTGTTTACTTGAAATGTTTGAAAGGAACTCACACACGTATACTTATATACATATTACATATGTGTATATATATATGTTATGTGTTGGTTGTCATTTGGCTGTCTCAGCTAGGAGAAACAAACCCAGAAACAAAACAGCTGCAATGCAACAGCTACTCTAACCAGAAACCCAAACACAAAACATAACAGCTACTCTGATCTCACGGAAAGAGTGATCGAGAAACTCCTCCGTTCCTTCATAACCCTTGGCAGCTTCAAGTGCATGTGAAACTTTTTTGCTCAACACGGAAATCTCACTTGACCATTTTCGGGATGTCAACAATGCATCTCGCTGAACCATGATCTTGGCAATCTCTGGATCCTCACCCTTTTTGGGTCGTCCCCCAGCCCCATCACCACCACCGCGGCGGCTGGTCGCGTCGGGTCTTGCCGATCCGGCCTTGGCCTTGGCCTTCGGCTTTGCCTTGGCCTTTGCGAAAGAACTCTCATGTGGCTGCCCTGCCCAAGATGGCAGCGTGATCGCTCCGAAGGTATTGTCTAAGTGCGGCCAGGACTGTATTTCTGTGTGTATGAACATGGAAGTATGGCTGAGTTCAAATAGTGCATTATGCTTGCCATCAACAAACAGCTTAAGACCAAAAGTTATACTAAGATTGGCGCCATTCGTGTTGTGGATGTTCATCTCTACATCCAATTTGCTGTCACGTAAACCTCACATAGGGTTACAACTTGTGACACAAAACCAAGCAATCGAAATCGCAAAAAAAAAGTACTGAACAGCTGTTGATTGTTGAACACTACTGAAAGATTATTGTACTTGAAAAATATCAAGTCTTAAGCTAGCAACCGTCCCGGATATCGTCCAATTCTTCTTGGTCACCACGTTCAACTTCATAAGTCCGACGCTCCTGCCACAGTTGATTGATCAATCAACCACTCTGAGACTTTGTAATCTACATGTGAGAATGCATATGTTTTCAACTTACCCAGCACCTACACTTTCTTGTCTAAGGAAAACATATTGGGAAAGTCAGTAAGTCAACAATGTTTGTATCTCCCAAGGAAAGCGAAAGTATACAAACCTGACTATATAGTATGTATTATTTCCTAAACCTGAACCAGAGGCTGGCCTCCACTGCTTTCGCATTCTCAGTACGAGATCCGGCAGTTCTGCGAAGTGATCCAATTGCAGCCACCGTTTGGTTCCCAAACCTGATTGTTTTATCTAAAGCAACTCTGGTGGATATCTGGATTTGCAAATTTCGAAGCTTGACAAAATTCAAGCGTTAACTTCAGAGAGAAATGATTGTAGTCCAGCCACTGGTCTGTGCCTTTCGGCACTTGAGGGTCCCGAACAGCTTCTTGCCACTATTCATCAGCATCCTTGTCGGTGAAGTTGTACCACTTCTTCATTCGCTTTTTGAACCTGTTGGACTTTCAAACAAAAACATTCTCATATCCTTGGACATACCAAACCATTACATGTACTGAGTACGGCATTTGTTTTGTATTACCAAACATGTTCTTGCCGGCATCATTGTACGAAAACATTGTTTTGATATACATAGACAGCTCCTATGTTCTTCCATGCAACATGGACAGTTGCCTGATCTCGTTCAAATAATCAGCGCCCGCATCAATACCACGCGATTCGATGTTCTGAACCTGAGAACAAAAGAACAACCTCCCGCCACCCTTCACCTCCAAAAAAAATACAATGTATATTGATTGGCTTTGCAAAACCGCATGTTTTTCTGTACAAGAAAAGTACTTTGATCATCTTGAGAAGGAAACGGACTGAATGGTTTGGAGCTCACGCTTCTTTCCACGCCCCCCAGTATTGCGATTCGCCAAGACCAATGCTTTCTTTTCATCCTTTGCTGGATTTTTTCGCAGCGGAATAGAAGCATACAAACAGCGAACACGCAAAAAAAAACTACAAACAGTAAAGTCATTTGGCGTTAGATCTTGATCATCACACATCACAAAAATGTTTAGTCGGTCTACACAGGCGAGATTCGGGTGTCTTGGACTTCCAATCATCAATGTTCTGGGAGCAATATCGCTAAGAACTGTGGCATTTGGAACATTTGTATTGCTTGCCGAAGGTGATGGCCAGTGACACGGGAACCTGCTCCTTGCAGTCCATGCACCTCAGTCAGAATATGAGTGTGATATGTAAATCACTGCATATACACAATTGTGTTAACACAAACTGAACATATCATTGATTGACTGATAGGACCAGGTACAATAGCCTGATTCCAGGCTCCGTCGTGAGGTCGAAAGCAGACAAACAAATCTATCTACTCACAACAACCTTTGGAGTCACTAACGGCTCTCAGTAGAGAAATGTAAAAGGAAGCAAGCTGAAACCACCTGAAAACATAGATCACCTTGGAAGATTTCAAAGGGGAAAGACCACCAGCAAGCACACAGTCAGAGCGCAAAGTTTGTTTGCCTCTGCAAACATCATATTGCTAATTCACATTGACATGTGAAGTCAACAGCTGATATGATATGTATTAATTCCGAAACATGTGAAAATCGCATATCTTTTCCCCCGGAAACGCGACTCTGTCACATTTTGGTCAACGTGTCGCTGTTGACATCATACTTTGACAAACATCACTGCACAGCAAACCATGAATCCAATTGAACTGGAGTGCATGGCATTGCCTGCCAAAAAGCACTGCCCTCTGTGGGAAACAGAAAGTGCTTCGACTAAGTTACATTTCATTACATGTGCAATCTGTTTCGTCACTGGAATCCCCTGGCTCAACATGAGCTCAACCCCGTGCAAGAATCGGGATTGGCTACGCAGAAACATTCTGCTGCAGCCTGTGGTCAAGGTAGGCAAAATTTCAATGCCATAACGTGGTCGGGTATCAGCATTCTGATTGAAATCAGCTACCTTCCACTGTGGAAATCGCTCCGTGTATTTCTTCTCACCTGCAGCTGTCCAGGGGACATCCACATTGTATATAGTAAGCATAAAGTTCCTCAAACAAGAAATAACCGATTCGCTATTGAAAATTGAAAAGGCATATGGTATAGAGAGAGAGAGAGGAAGAAACAAAACCCGAAGATAGATGTAGGACCAAGCTTGCAGACATGAAACGCTTGACATACGATTCAGTCAACTCGTGCTTGACGGAAACATCAAACAAGATGTCCTCCAACTTGGTCATGCAATCGGCCACATTGGAATGTAGGCAAATAGTTTTCACATCGTCAATGTTTTTGGTCAGCCTTAGGAACACACACTGGTT